TGGATATAAGTTTAAGATGGGAATTAATTTTTACAGATTAATTCCACTTACTAGTTACACGTTGTGTCTGGAGTTACTTAGCAGTAGTTATGAACTTTGGAATAAGATTCAAATAAGTGTTGATAAAGGAACTTCAACAGGATTATCAATTGGAAATGTAAGTGTAAAAAAACTAGCCCACAGATACTTCACTACAAAGCCACATACAAATTATATATACTACCATAAAATAATAGTTAATTTTCGGAAGTTGTCATATGGTAATAAATATTTTCTTCACATTCTTGTTAATATTCCACAGGTTGGAAATGACTTGAGGAGTTATCCAAATAGGCTTCCAGGAATTTACATGATTGCTTATGGTATTGTGGGTACAGTTAGCAATATCGACCCAGATAAAGTTTACGACTATCACACCGCATTTGATATCAAACCAACAGAAGTGGTTTACAATGTTGATATCAACGCAAATCAAAAAACAATCAGAAATATTAAAATTGATTCAAATGATTACTCCAGTGTTACCACAATAGGTCAAATATCCGGAATGACTAAATTTACTATAAACAATCTTTATAGAAATTATTTTGAAGAATTTTATAACTTTACTGATGCGGATAGTTATGGAATAAATATAGGTTCATCTGGAGTTATTATTAATTCTGTAAAGCCAAATATTACACTACCACCTAATAAAGACCTAAGTGAAATAGAAAAAGAAGGCTTACGTGTTAATGGTTATGTTGTTACTTTTTCCCCTACACGTTCTTCTAAATCTACTTTATGTATTGTTTTTACTCATTGGAAAAATAGGAGTTTTACCCTAACTAAATATTTATCAACAAACAATAGAATACTGGTACTCTCCAAACTTTTACGACTTTGACTCTGAGCAATTTCACAAAGTAATGCTTCAAGAAAAGTTAAATGGATCTTATATAGTATAGATATAAATGAAGGATATCTTTGAATTTAATCACATTGATAAATCTCTGTCAGAATCAGACGTTAAAACCCTCAAAGACTTTTATAGTCACTACCACAAGAAATACTGGTGTTTTAAGAAATCATATAAGAGTTACAAATTTGTTGATGATGTTTTTACAATCTCTGGAATATGCTTGGTTGCAATTGGAACTATTTCTGGTGGAATAACTCTAAACCCTGTTGTTCTCGGAGTTGTAAATGGTGCTGGGGTTGTCGTAGCAGGTATTGGAAAAAAAAAATAATTACAAAAGAAAAATTGAAATGTCAAGGATTGCATTTAAAACGTATGAAAAGGTACTCGTTGAACTACGAGCAGCTCTGAGAGGTGATGAGTTTAATAAACAAGAGTTTATTGAACGTATGAAACTAATAGATGAAATGATAATTGATCAAACACCTATAGCAGATAGATTTGCTAGTAGGTATAGTAAAAAATTTAATCTAAATATGTAATAAAATGGACCATTTTGAAAAATTTGAAAATCAATTACTTAGTTCTTACGAATCAACTTTAGCTGTAGAAGGAAGAGAAATTTGTAAAGAAGTTGATTCTTTAATTCAAGATGATGATGAATTGTTAGTAGAAAAAGCTAATGCTTATTGTCGCTTTTGTACTGATCCAAAACGAGTTAATATTGATGAAAAGTTGTTTGATAAGTGTAAAAATTATTTAAGGAATATGAGTAGACTCAGTTATATTAAAATTCATATGGAATATTTATCTAATTCAAGAAAGGAACAAAAAAAGGTTTAAAGAATAAACTACTAATAAATATAAATATTTGAATGTATATTTCTTTCTATCTTTTTTAGATTTAGCTGTTTTCAATATTTAGATAAATATTGAAAACTAATCTAAGTATCTAAATGTATACTTCTTGCCATTTTTTCTAGATGATAATGATTTACCTTTTTTCCTACAAACTTTTGAAATATTACCAGCATTAATATCTAATTCTATCCCAGCTTTTTCAATAGAAATAAATCTTTTTTCTTCACCAGTTTCAATACAAGTAGAAATTATTACTTTATTATGACTTTTTAAAAAATTTTGTCTATGAGAAAGTAATTGCAAATTTTTTATTCTGTTATCAAATTTGAAATTATTTGTGTGATCAAACTAAAAATATTTTGGAATCGGACCTTTGAAAACTTCAAATACAAATCTGCGTTGAGAGTACAACTCTGTTTTTTTAAGTTTTTGGTTATACAAACTAAAATATAAATAACCACTATCATTTTTACACATTTTCATAATTCTTTTAGTTTTAAATTTATAACATCTCCATCTATGGAAGCTGCATAATTAGTAAAAACATTATGTTTGTAGTATTTTACTCCATCAATTATTACTCTTTGTTTTAATTTGGATTTAAACATTTTAAAATATCCATATTTACGAATTGAAGGAAGAACTTTGGAAAACACCCACTGGCGAAACATTTTTGCAGCAGGTAATCTAGATCTAAAAACAAGTTCGTAGAAACCTGCTTCATTAATGTAAAATGTACAAGTACAACCCCGCGTTTCACGGGGGTGAACTTTTTTTATTTTATTACTTACACTTACATGTCTCTTTATAGCATCTTCTGTTTTTTTATAACCAAGTATTATAGCAACTTGTTTTGCTTCAAACCATACATTACATTGGTTATCGATGTATGAGTTTAACTTTATTCCAAGTTGTTTATTAACAAAAGATTTCTCTAAAATATTTTCCATCTTTATTTATACTTTTTATTCTTTAAACTTTAATTAATTTTCTATTTAAATTAAATAGAAAAATAGTGTAAATATATATCTATTCATAATATAAAATGATCAAATCAATAGTAGCATATGTTAATTTCTACTTTCCAACTTATAAAACACAATTTTATTCTGATAATTTTATTAAAGCTTGTCTTGTTTACAAGTTCCTCTAGGCAAAGTTTTACACAAAAACTTGACATAGTGCAAATTATTTACAGACTAACAGAAGCAAGACATTACCTAAATTCATATTCAAATATTATTAAAAATCATTTGATATTCAATCTCGCTTTCAAAGCTTTTTGGAAACATTATCAAATTGGAAGAGGATGTGTTTATACTTTCAACTCACCTTTCAAAGAATGTGAAGTACTTGGTTATTTAACTGGAATTATTTATTGCTTTTTTCACAGAGGAGTGGTTGATTGATTTATAACTATCCCACCACTTTTCATAATTCTCTAAAGTTTGGGGAGAAATCTTTAAATAAACTAGTTTACTCTTTTCACAACCCATCTCCTACAAAAGTTTTTTAATTAAATAAAAAAGAATTATCATTCTCTTTCTACAGTATCTTTTGTTTAGTATTTCCATGACGTGATTGTCTATTTTCATTAATTTATTGTACAGTTCATATTTTTGTTCATCAGTTAGGTTTATTCTTTTAGAAACTTGATCAACCTTTTTCTCATAGTGATACTTTCTCTGATAAATACTTTTTTTTCGAAAATATAATCTATCATATTCTTTAACATAGTAAAAACCTAATACATAGCCATTAGTTGTCCCACAGGAATCACAAATATTATAACCTGATTCAATAGTAAAACTATTGCTTTGACAATTACTACATCTAACTTTTTTATTTTCTTTTTCTTCTGATTGGTTTTTATAACTTTTTAATATTTCCAAATATTTTTCTATTTCTTCTTTTGTGTAAGTCATTTATTATTTATATCTTATTATCTTAAAGCAATTGTTTTTATCTTACCCAAGAGAACTTCACGCTTATCATCTTCATTACTTAGAGCTATTTTGTTAACTTCTTTTGAATATATATCATGTTTTTCACTTCTTATTATCTTCATCTTTCTCATTTGTTTTTTACCCAAAAATAAACATTGGACACCAAAATCATCAAATCAAAATCATCAAAAATCAAAATCATCAAAATCTAATTTCTTTTTTATAACATTTTTCTTTATTCCTTTACATTTACGAACTTCTTTATCTTCTTCAATTCTAAAACTGTAAAGTTTGGGTCGCAATCCAACGAAACAAGTTATTTGTTTTCCTGCTACTTCATCTTTAAACATTCCTATTACTTTTTTGTTAACTCCTGTTGGTATTCCAGATGGATGATTAGGAGGATAATCAGATGTGTCAAACTTGGTTTGAATATCATAGGATATATCTTTATAAAAATCATCTGTGTAAATCTGAAACATCAAACTATCGGTATCTGTAAACAATATCTCAGCTTTGTCTTTATATTTCTTTTTAATGTAGTTATAATGAAAATCAAACATTAATGTTTTTGATAGATCATGTATTGCTTGTCCAACATATACTGGTTTGTTAAAATACACTTCAGTTTTTTTCATATGAACCGCAATAAGATTTTTATCAAATATTGTTGCTCTATCAAAGTTTGGACGACTTGATAGTTTGGCAGCTTTCTTACGATTATCAATAAGAAATATATTCTGTCTTTTCCTTATGTTTTCTATTGTTTTTCGAATACGGAATTATTCATTAGTTTGAAAAAGTCTTTCTCAAAACTGTTTGCTGCTGTTTTTCGAAGTTCTGTATTTTTTCTTATGTAAGGTTCCATCCAAGAACTTTGATAGAATGATATTCCTCTATGAACAGCAGTTATTCTCATCCCCATCTCAAGATATTGTCTTAAATTTCGATAATGTACAACATAATTTTTTCTTGGTTTAAAATGACATATTAGTTTTTCAACACCATTAACAATCATCTTCTCAGGTGCTAAAGGATAATCATTATGCTCCTCCCATAGTTTTTTAGGATATTCCAAATCTACTTCAAATATATATCCTTTTCTTCCACGATTTGACATACTATGATTTGCTTTCTCAAGAATATCCATTACTTTTTCTTTTGTTAGGTTTTTAATCCATTTAAATCCATGTGTTGGAAGTGATTGTGACATTGCCCAACCGTAAAGATCGTTTGCATCAAGATATTGAATATAACTAGACTCCTCATCAGGATTATAATCTTTCATGTATTTGTTATTCGCTTCTGCATATCTTTTTTGATATGTGAGATATTCCACCTCTTATACCTCTCTCAAACATCATTAACATATCATAATCATGTAATAGTTGTAATTGTTGACATGTTTCTTTAAGACATGCATCCCAAGCTAATCCAGGAGATGTGTAATAATGAGCTGGATCTAGGTTGTAATGTTTTAAACAAGTTTTTCTAAAATTCTCAAATACATCTGATAAAAGTAGGACATCAGACTTTAGGTAAAGATTATGATAATCTCTAATTGTTTTACATTTAAAAGTATTCCATACATTAATAGCGTGTTGGTAATCATCATCACTTATATCTTCATCATTTAGCTTTGAAAAAAATTCTTCTTTTGGAGGTAATTGTGTTTCGGATAGTTTTTCAAATGATGAAACATAGTCATAAGGATAAACTCCCTTACGAGTTAAAAGTTCAACATTTTCCTTAAATATTTGTTTTGTATTATGAAAATCATCTGGTTGTAAATTTCCAACTAGATTAGCAAGTGATGTTTGAAGAAACTTGAATGAATCTATAAATCGTATTTCGAAATTTATTGGAAAAGTAATTCCAGTTATTCTATCTTTATACTCACCAACCTTAATCTTTTTTGAAAAGGAAATATATTTTTCTTCCGTAGATGGAATACAGTTTAATTCTCCTTCTAAACAAGCAAGTTGTTTAATAAATAAATGCGCATCATACCCTTGAAGATTATGAAATATAACTGGAAGAACTAATGGTTTCTTATATTGAAGATTACAATTTCTATGCGCAGCTCCACGATACTTTCCAGTAAAGTGACAATGATCTCTAGCTTTATCATTTTGTAATTCTTTACTACAAATATAACAAATTTTTGCTTCTTCAAATAATTTTTGTTCAGCTTTTGTTAATCTAAGAGATAGTGGTTTACAATAAAAATCGTTGTATATCTTATTAGTTACTTTTTTAAGTTTTTCTACAAATACTTTTGATATATCTTCAACTTCTTTTGTTTTTGTCTAAACAATAGGTGAAAAGATAGTATCTACTATTCCTTTTATGTAAAAACAAAATCCTGATGGTTCATGCTTTTGATAATTATAATTATACGATTCTTTTGGATTAGGACTACAAGTATTCATTGGTTTTGTAAAACACTCAAAATCAGCATAAACCACAAAAGGAACTGGTAACTGCTTTTCATAATTTTTAAAATATAACATTGTATCTTGTTTTGGCATTTTTACAGAAACTGTTTCATTATTTGAGCAGTATTCAATATGTTTTTGTAATAATTCATACTTTGTAAAATGACTAAAACATCTCTTACAAATAAATATTGAACCATTCTTACTTTTTGTTTTTTGTGTCTTTATCAATCGAGTAAAATCTTTAATTAGTGAATAATGTGAAACACCATCTTCTTCGTACAAAAATAAATCAATAGTATTCAAACAATCTCTCTCTGCCATTCTCAAAGGATAAAAGTTTTTGTTTTCATTAACTGAAAAAACATTGATTCCTGGAAGAGATGGATTAAGTTTTTCAAATTTGGTGATGTCTTTTAATTTCATAGGAAAACTAATTCCTTTGGTGTTAAGATAATTTTCATACTTTTTTAAATCTGTCAATCTGGTATCATTATCTTCTCTTGGATGAAGATATCTTAGTATACACCAAAGAAAACATTTCTCATCTTTGTTTTGGATATTAACTATTGCTTTTTTATGTGATATCAAATCTGGAAGAGGAATGTAAGATGACCCCTTTGTTGGATTATATTCAACAGTATGAATTTCAAGTTTTTCCACTTCTTTAAAATACCATGCACTTCCAGTTTGTTGATAATTTTCAATACCTCCTTCAGTGGTATTTATCCATAAATCAATTAATTTATCTACATATGTTGATATAATATTAATATATGTTCCTGAAGTAAAGTAAGATTTACCTTCTTCTAATCCTACAACACCAACATTTTGTTGAACAGTTTTTTTTTCCATTATACAAACCAAAATCATCTTAAATTTTAATTTCGATGATATGTAAAAAAATCTTTTAAAGTTTTATAAATTCGTTCAAAAAACTTAAGTGGAGTAAGACCAGGAATTCCTTGAATAATATACTTAACAGCAAAGTCTTCAAAAGCTGATTTTTCTTTTTCAAGTCCTTGGTCATATTCTAAAATAGCTCGCTCAAGAGCTTCACGAAAATAAGAAGGAGTATCTTTGGGGATCTGTCTATTTTTTATACATTCCTCAAAATACTCGTCAAATGATTTTATCTTTTTCTTTTCAGAAGGAGGTGTCTTTTTTACAGTGGCTTTTTTTTATAGACTTTTTTTATATCAATTCCTTTTCTCACTTTTTCCCTAGCTTCTTTTAATTTTTTATATTGTTTAATTAATTTTCTTCTTTCTCCTAATTCCTTATAATCTTTCTTAAGTTCTTCTTTTTCTTCTTCAATAATATGTCTTATTTCATCCAAAGATAAATTCTGAAATTGCTTATCTGTTATAAAAGGTTGAGAACCTCGGAAACCATCAGTTGATTGGTTAGACATGACGTCTTATAATATTAAGATTATATTATAAGACGTAAATGTTTAAGTTATAATTAATCACTATCATCACTATCAAAATTTATTTTATCGTAAAATTTACAAAACAACTCATAAAATTCTCTATAACCTAGAAAATCATCAGGATGACCATCAACAAATTCTTCATCTTCCTCAAAATCAAAATGCATTCTTTCAAATTAAAAAACTATATTTTCAACATCACACTCTTTAAATTTAAAACAACTTGTATCATTAAGATAACCAAGTTCTTGTGCTTTCAGTTCAGTAGTATCAGTAAGATATTTTTCTACAAAACTTTCTATTTCCTTATTAATACCTCTTATAAAAAGGTATTCATTCTTAAAATCCCTTGCATATTCTGGGATTTTATTAGTTTTTTTAATGCAATTCTGGAAATTCGAAGTTTGAGCCAGGATAACCATTTCCTATACCACTAAGAACCGTATGAAGGAAAAGGCCTGTCAGCAGATGAGTTTTCCCGACTGGTTCTGAAAAGGATTATCTCCCAACGGCTTGTCGGTTCTACTCGACAGAAGAAAGAACGGAAAAATCATGCTGCCTGTGTGTTATCTGCCGTTTGACCGGCCTTATCAACGGCAAGATAATTGAAAACGAAGCGATCTATAACTTTTGGTGATTTTTGGTTGAGGACTTTTCTCTTGCTGGTTAAAAAACCGCCAGGAACTTACTTTAATAATAAACAGTTGCGTTCTTGCAGATCTTCGAAGTTCGGCTCTTCTTTCCTTGCCATCAGCGTTCTTTTGTGTGCTCCGCTGGATCCAATTCTTCCTGATAGAAATTCAAAGAGTGCGTGACGGCAAAGTGTTTTAATTTTTCTCAGACAAACTTTGCATTGAAAGTTGCGAAGAGCCGCTACATTTCTTATTAAATAATTTTCCACCCCGATTCCTTCAGCAACAACTTGAATAGGTTTGTGCTGGATTTTATGCAACTCGGCACGCGTTGTTGCAACTTTCAATGATTCCTTCGATTGGACGACCGCATTTGAACTTTTTTTATAATACCTTTACTTTAGATTTCTTGTTTTAGGAAGACAAAAGAAGAACAGTGCGAGAAATACGACGTGCATCGCGGCCAGACTTATTTGACAGCAAGTCATTCACAGTTGCGTTATTTTTGTTTTGTTTTGTTTCTTTTAATTAGTAGGCGTGATGGCTAAAACAATGGCTTCCTTGCAGGCGTTCCCCTCCTCCCTCCTCCCTCGCGCTTGCTCCCGCGCCGTAATTCCTTTCCCCTTCCCTTTCGAACGCCTGCCACGCAGGCTATAAATAAATCAATCTTTTCATGAATATGTGCTTTGTGTCCGCCAATGACGTCATGGAGCATTTTGCGTTTCCAGGCAACATGGACTTTGTCGCCGATGACCAAGGTGCATTTTCATGCATTATGTATAATTCACGAAATGCTGTTGTGTATTCATTCATCGTCTATGAAACAATGTTTGCAATTCGTGAATCACGAACAACATGCACAGCAAGTGCCTGCAAATCTTCGCCGAGGAAGATTTTCCATTGAAACTCCTCTAGAGAACGCAGGGTTAAAATTCATTGAATTGGCGAGCGCATCGAAGAAGACAACTGCGAAGCAGAGAGAAAATCGCCTAGCACAGCGAAGACAACGACCCACCAAAAAAAAAATAAGAAGGCCATGGGATGGATTAAAAGGCAGCTGGAAATTGTACTGACTTTTTCATTTTCGTCACTAAACTTGTCAGAAATTTTCGGCCATTTTTTATTTGTGTAATTGTATAAATTATCTCTACGGATATGCAAACAGATGGTCGTCCTCTTCACTGGACAAGAGGTGGAGAGAATCAGCATAAAATTGTCAGAAAGTCTGAACTATAACATAACTAGCAGGCCATTACTTACCAAGAAGAAAGGAAAAATACATTTTTATTACACCTATCAAAATTTGTCATACTCTTATTCGCCTCATTCAAACAACAACAACAAACAACAACAACAACAAATTTTATTGAAAATTGGAAAATAACTAATTACATTACTTTCCCACCCGCAAATAGCTTATGAACTAATCGAGGCGGGGGGAGCTGAAGCATTACGAGCCGCAAGGTCGATTTTCGTGCACGCACCAGGGATCCTTAATTTCCATGGAGATACCCACAAACTGGACTCAAGTAACTACAAGGCGTTAGTCTTGACAGATTTCCTTGCGCACCTCAGGTGTTCACATTAATCGCTTTCTGTCAGTTCATCTGTCAATAAACTCATTTTAGGACAGGACACAAATTTGCGTCAAATATCAGAGCTTGTCTTCTGCGCGCCGAATTTATACCATCGGAGCGAGAAATTTTAACTCAGCTATGGTTCTCGTCAAAATCACTTAATGAAAATACTTAAATTCATGGTTGGTGTTAAAAAAGGGTCTTGGTGCAAGTCTTGGAAAAAAAAGAAATATTTTTTTCGTTTCTTAAGCGAAAGGCAAAATCTAGCGCTTTATGAAGGTCGAATTCGAACCCTCCAGAGTAATAATTATTCGGTACGTTACCTGGTAAGTTACATATTGTCGCCGAAATGGTTTCAAAAGTTCCACGTGAAGAGTTCTGGATGTTATTTCGCATTATGTCCGAAGGACAGAAACTGTGTTCGCCGATATAAGGTAAGAGAGACCTTTATTATTTAAAAAGGTAGAGGAGCAGCTTGTTACGGCTCTCGCATGCGGAGTTCGAGCACATCGGTGAAGCCGGTTTGACGACACTGAGGAAAACAGAGGAAAATATTTACTTGCCTTTGGTATTGTGTATATCCTCGATCACTACACAATAAGGCACAAATATTATAATTCAAAGGGCATTTACAACACGCGCCAAAAGAGCCGTGATCCCGCCAAAATGCTCGAAACATCTAACAGAGTGTAAAAAGGGGGCTGGTAGGCAACACACGACTTTCACCTCGTGCCAAAATGCTGCTTGTTCCAAAAATTGTTTTCTCTGGTGGGTATATTATATTCTGGGTTCTACTCTTTGAATGAGTAAATGTGAATTTTGCCGCTTGTTTCATACTGAGAGGTCATGACACGCATATTGATTTTCTGTGGTTATTGTCTCTGGTCGGCATGATTTGTCCTCTGATGCAAGAGCACTTTCTTCGACCTCTTTTGAAACGTATATCTCTTCCTTTGCGGCTAAATAAGAGTTTTAGGTTGTTTAGTCTTCTCCAAAGTGCCTCCTGGATCTGAATAGCTAAAGGCGATATTCTTTTTTCCGTGAATGTGATGGTTTCCTTCAATTTATGTCACGCTGGGCCCAGCTCGTTTAGTATTTTCTGCACGATGTTAGATTTTCACCGAAAGTGATTTACAGATTCAAATTTCGAGGAATGAATTATAGGAACGCATTTTGTGAAGAGAGATTTTTTAAGTAAAAAAAGCTCGGATCCTGAAATCGATCGTGTTTTAGCTAGCCAATTTTCATATCCTGTGTTAGTTCGGATAATTCATTAGGTTATTCTCTCCTCTCCCTCTTAGCTTACAGGCGGCGCGCCCAAGTTTAAGAGGTAAAGAGATATTTTTTTCAAGAGTAAAAAACTCGTAGCTTGAATCGATCATGTTTTACTATCTAGCCAATTGCAGTCTTTATGAACTATGTTAGTTTGGATAATTCAGTAAATTTTTCTCTCCTCTCCCTCTTAGCTTACAGGCGGCACGCCCAAGTTTAAGAGGTGAAGAGAGATTTTTAAAGGGGGAAAAACTCGTAGATTGAATCGTCATGTTTTAGCTAGCTAGCCAATTACAGTTTTCATGCGCTGTGTTAGTTTAGATAATTCAGTAAATTTTTCTCTCCTCTCCCTCTTAGCTTACAGGCGGCACGCCCAAGTTTAAGAGGTGACGAGAGATTTTTTTCAAGGGCAAAAAGCTCGTAGCCTGAATAGACCATGTTTTACTAGCTAGCCAATTGCAGTTTTCTTACGATGTGTTAGTTTGGTTACTCTCTCCTCTCCCTCTTGGCTTCCAGGTGGCACGCCCAAGTTTAAGAGGTGAAGAGAGATTTATTTAAATTGAAACACTCGTAGCTTGAGTCGATCATGTTTTATTAGCTAGCCTATTGCAGTTTTTATACGCTGTGTTAGTTTGGATAATTCAGTAGGTCATTCTCTCCTCTCCCTCTTAGTTTATAGGCGGCGCGCCCAAGTTTAAGAGGTGAAGAGAGATTTTTTTCAAGAGTAAAAAACTCGTAGCTTGAATCGATCATGTTTTACTACCTAGCCAATTGCAGTTTTCATGCGCTATGTTAGTTTGGATAATTCAGTGGATTATTCTCTCCTCTCCCTCTTAGCTTACAGGCGGCGCGCCCAAGTTTAAGAGGTGACGAGAGATTTTTTTCAAGGGCAAAAAGCTCGTAGCTTGAATAGACCATGTTTTACTAGCTAGCCAATTGCAGTTTTCTTACGCTGCGTTAGTTTCGTTACTCTCTCCTCTCCCTCTTGGCTTCCAGGCGGCACGCCCAAGTTTAAGAGGTGAAGAGAGAAATATTTAAATTGAAACACTCGTAGCTTGAGTCGATCATGTTTTACTAGCTAGCCTATTGCGGTTTTTATACGCTGTGTTAGTTCGGATAATTCAGTAGGTAATTCTCTCCTCTCCCTCTTAGCTTACAGGCGGCACGCCCAAGTTTAAGAGGTGAAGAGAGATTTTTTCAAGGGTAAAAAACTCGTAGCTTGAATCGATCATGTTTTACTACCTAGCCAATTGCAGTTTTCATGCGCTATGTTAGTTTGGATAATTCAGTGGATTATTCTCTCCTCTCCCTCTTGGCTTACAGGCGGCACGCCCAAGTTTAAGAGGTGAAGAGAGATTTTTTAAGGTAAAAAGCTGGTAGATTGAATCGTCATGTTTTAGCTAGCTAGCCAAGTGCAGTTTTCATGCGTTGTTAGTTTGGATAATTCAGTAAATTTTTCTCTCCTCTCCCTCTTAGCTTACAGGCGGCGCGCCCAAGT